CCGCGTTTGCTCTGTGGCCTTCGGAAAGGCACCGCAAGCTCTTCCTCAGCTGCGGACGGCTTCTGCTAGGGAGCCCAGCGATTTTTAGATCTCGGGCTCAGTGGTTATTTCTCACTAGCGTGTCCTGAAATTTAATTTTTCTTAACTTCAAATATTGGCCCTAATTGGAAAAACTGACATCAGTTTCCTTCTGCTGTGTAAAGAAAGCCCAATGCTACTTTCAGCCCGTTAAGCTATTTGCTAGCGTAAGGATTTTACAACCCTCTTTGCTGTTTCAGGAGGTAATATGACCTAAATGAAACCAAACATCGAGTTGTTAAATTAGCACAGACAGGAATCCAGCTGCATACTTTCTTTGAAATCCTCATTAGCATGTTACCATGAACTGTAAGATGGCCGAGGGATTCATTTCTGAGAATACTTCAAGGTTTCTCAACAAGCTGCTGCTGCAGATCTATATCTGACTAAAGGGATAAATCCTAAAATCTATGCTTGCCAGTAAGGTCAAGGCAGCCAGCAGACATGTATCGAACCACCCTGTCAGAGGTAGACATTTCAGGCCAAACTCATTCCTGGTGCGGCACTGCTAATTCCTTTGAAGCAACACGAGGGATGAATTTAGTCCCTCATGCTGAAAGATATATCAATAGGAAGCAATTTAGATTGGGCCACTTAAAGTGCATGTAATACAAAAAAGAGAGAGAGAGACTGAGGAGTAATGCTTTAAGGGTTCACGGAGGTTGATTTGTGTAAGCTAGTGAGACTGTAGCATTGCTGTCCCAAGGGAAGGCTAGGGGAATGGGAAATTGCCTTTTATGGCTGAGCCTCAGGTTAACAGGAGAGGAAAGTAGTTTTAGGATTCCTGTGTAAATTGGATTTTTCCAAGTTACTTTCCAAGTAACTTCCAAGTTACGCTTCAGTCATACAATGGCACCTATTCACCTCACCCTCTTCCAGATTATCTGGAGATACACCCAGCTGCAGAGTTTACATTTCCTTCACCCACTTTCGCTTTTTCACATAATGCACTAAATAATGATGTTGTCAGAGTTCCAGCATCTCAGTTGGGACTGGGGAGGGGAAAGAGGGAGGTGCAGAGAAATTGGTAACTCAGTTGTAAAACCTTGCTGTTTTGTTGAGAATCTGATGGAGGGAGTGTACCAAGACGGCTTCTCATTGAGAGGTTCCGGGGGAAACTGCATTATCTTCTGTAGCTGTTAATGATCCTTGCTAAATATTTTTGGAGCTTTGGACTTTGCCATAGTGATAGACTGCTAATCTTGTCAGAAAGAGAGCAGTTGTTTGTCCAGTGTAAATTGGCAAATGAATATTTTATTATTTTATAATGGGTGGGAGGCATATGAATGGAAGACTTGGTCATTCAGAGATTGCAGCCGCTTTTCTCTGGGGATCTCACATTGTGTCTCTCTCTGGCATTTCAGAAGAGCTGCTGGAAAGCCGCCCTGCCGTAGCCGCTGACGCTATGGAAGACCGCATCCGCTGGCCTAGGCTGTAGGATGGTAGCGCACAGCAAGGTCTCAGCAGATAACGCAGTTGCAGCAGACCCGAGATGTCTCCTTGACTCTCCAGCACGGGAGCGTTCCCAGGCTCGAGGCTACCACGGCCCAGGCCGGCCCAGCACTGTGCAGGCACAGAGCAACACGCACTTCCGAACCTTTCGCTCGCAAGCGGATTTTAGCAGCATCACTCGAGCAAGCAGCCTGCTGGATGCCTGTGGCTTCTACTGGGGACCCCTGACTGTCGGTGCTGCCCATGAGAAGCTGAAGTCTGAGCCCGAGGGCACCTTCCTCATCAGGGACAGCACACAAAAGAATTGCTTCTTTGCCATCAGTGTTAAGACTGCGACTGGGCCCACCAGCATCCGGATAAACTTTCAGACCGGGCGTTTCAGCCTGGATGGCAGCAAAGAGACTTTTGACTGTCTTTTTAAGCTGCTGGAACATTACTTAAGCTCCCCGAGGAAGGTCCTGGTTACCCCCCTGCGCAAAGTGCGTGTGCAGCCCCTGCAGGAGCTCTGCCGGAAGAGCATTGTGAAGACTTTTGGAAGAGAGAACTTAAACCAGATCCCCCTCAATCCTGTTTTAAAAGACTATCTGAAATCCTTCCCATTTCAGATATAAGTACAGCATTAACTGTATAGGGATGTGCGAGATATGTGTAAAGAAATCCAGCTTCCTGGGTTTTTAAACATGTTTGACAGTGAGCAAACTTATTTTTGTAGCAATTTACTGTATTTTGGGATGGAACTTGAACACTTGACTTCTTATGTTTACAAAAATTGTTTGCACAAACCTGGGGTTTTAAAACCCTGGCATAATGTTTCTGCCAAGCAGAATATTTTTTTATTTTATAATATTTTTAATGATGTTAACATAATAAACTTTATTGTGAAAGTTTTTAAAAAAAAGTAGTAGCATTTCTGGTTTTACTTTTAAAGGCTCTGGTACCTGTCCTGCTGACAAACTTTAACTGCTAATCGAGTGTGTAAGTGCAGAAAGGTCTCCGTGTGGTCCTGCTCCTTGCCCTACTAAACTAGCCTGTTCTAGTGCTAGTCCAGCAGACAGAGGATTTCTGTCCCAAAAAGCCTAAAATAGAAAGATGCAAGTAGAAAATGCACTCGGGATGAATCTGCCCAGGAAGCTAGTTTTTTTCTAAATCCATGAGAGCAGGAACAGTGTGTTAAGACTTCAGCAGTGCATAGTTTTTGAAAGTGAATAGAACCCTTGGCTGAGCTAATTGCACCAACTCTGGTTTGCCTTATTTTTATTAAAAGCTACAAGGCTCTAACAAGAAGAGGTTGCTGTCTGACATATCCAAACCACATGAATGTTGGCAGGGAAAAATAAAACTGTCCAGAAACGCCACTCACACACACTTTAAAAGGCCATGAACACTGTATCATTATGACACACTGGGGGAAGGATAGCTTAGTTCTCTCTTTAAATTGGCATACACAAAATGGCAAAGGTGCGGATGTCTTTTAGACTTCAAAAAGGTGTTTCTGGTCCTAATTCCTGGTGATCTACAAAGCACAGACTTGATATTTTAGAGAATCTATGACTTAGCTCCATGACAGGATCCAGAGAGCACAAGGCAATAGATTTGCAGCTGTAATTTCTGGTGGCTAAACTGCATTCAGAGAAAGTTAAAATACATTGGACTGTTTTGTAATACTATTTGTAGGAAATCGGTGAAGGCACCACTGGGTTTCTATCTGCTCATAAAATGCAAAATCAGTGCCCCAGAGAGGTGTAACTGTGAATGACTTGAGATGCCTAATTTGGAAAAAATGTCACCTGCATTATGGTAAAGTCATTCTCCCCAGCTCCCCCAAGCATTTCCTGAAATCCATGAAAAGCTGACTTAGAAAACCAGCTGAACCAAATCACTTCAAAGAAGGCATCTTTCACAGAAATGTACTCTATCAGCACAGACCTACAGTGCTTACAGTAACTGTGAGCAGTAAATGCAGTCATCTTTAGAGTTTGAAAGACAAAAGGTCTCTCCCTCTACTGTAATTCACATTCCTTTTAAAGCTAAAGTCACTTTTAGGAAACATTGAGTACGTGTTATATAGTGTTCTTTACTGAACAGTTTGTTTAATATAATTTACTCTACAAAATCAGCTCTTGCATCATTGATGTTTCTTTGGAATAAATAGGTTTCCTCCTCAAACAAGACTATGGATCACTCGTGGTGCATTGGACATTGGGAAAAAGGGAAAAAGAAAGAACACACAGGCAGTGTCATTTGACCCTTGACTCTGCTGCTTCCCTAAAAATGTTCTTCAGATTGGTCCTGCCCAGCAGCCATCCCTGGCTAAGAGTAGCAGACACCATTTCTGCCTAATTCTACAGCTGGAATTAGTTGCCGAATGGTGCCTCTTCCCACAGCAGCTGCAAGGATATGACCTGGGGAAGTAGTTAATGCTGTTCGATGCAGCAGATAGCAGGGCAGAGCAAGTACCTGAATGTGAACAGCTTTAACTTAAATAGGGGGGGGAATTTCTTTGTAGGGTGAGGGCTGCCAAACTGGTTTGCTGTCAGCAGATATTGTTATCACTTTCCCTGTTCTCTTTTCCCAGCCCTACACTGTCCTATCTTTTAACCCTTCAGGGCCCAAATTAATGACTCTTGCCTTGCTATATAAATGAGTGTCCATGTGACAGCATTCGTGGTAGAACAAGCACAATGTAGCTTAGAAGGTTCTCTGCTGCCCCTGATAAAAACAAAGCTAGACCTAGATGTACGGTGAGGAGCTTCCCACTGAGAGGCATGGAATGAAAAGCACAAGGATTGAGACAATTTAATTTTCTTAGTGCCAGAAACAAACCTACTTGCTCTCTCCCTTTCATTGCTTTAGAGTAAGTTTAGCAGAAATTACCCATATCCTCCCACATGAAGCACCTAAATCCCTTCATTTTGTCTTTAATATGAAATGCAAACATGGGATAGCTCAGAAAAAAAAAAAAATCGAAACTATAAATAAGGACAAGATGGTCAGAATTGTATAAAAAGTCTCTTAAGGAAAGAGGAGACAAAGCTGGCTTGTATTTTTAAACTACATATCTTTTCACCTGCTTAATTCTTCTTCCTCTTTCTTCCTTTCCTTCTCTCCCTCTCTCCCCAGCACACAGTACAGTGGCCAGGCAGATCCTCTTTCTAGCAGCTATATATGTAGGTTGCTCCAAAGCAACTAAGAAATCCTAACCACAAGTATGTGTGTTCACAATGTCACTTTGACTTGCTCTCTGTAAGAGCTAATGAAGGGCTCTCTAAAATGTCTGCTTACCTGTGTGCACTGATTTAAGGACTCGGTCACATCCAAGGGACATAGCAGGTGTCTCCTGAAGATTTCTGTAGTAATTCCAGCTGTCAAATCTCTCATCCTCTGTTTAATAAAATACCAGCGAGGTCAAACAGGAAATTTGCTGTATTCTGCACCTAAAGCAATGGAAACACATAACAGTGCAGTGATTTTAACCCTCCCTGCTAAATCGTACGGGAAGAGTGGTGTTTCCAGTCCCTCCCCATCTTGCCCAGCTCTTTCCTCTGACCTTCTCATTCCTGGCTGTGGCTGAAAAGTGAAGTAAACAGTCAATCTGGTAAATAACTAGGGAAGAATTTGAGCCATGCTTAGGAGCCGAGCAAAGCCACATTTTCCAAAGAGACTGCAATATTTATCATTGCTGGGGAAGGGACAGCTTTAAAATAATACCATTTGCAGCATGGCTTCATCACCCATGAGGACCCTGGGGGTCTCTGTCCCACAGAGAGCAGCAGAGTGGGAAATGTGCAGCAGAGTCCTGCTGGGATACCACCCAGCCCTGCTCCAGTGCAATGCTCCTGTGACTGTACAGGCAGCAAGACTGAGGCTTCCTTGCTTTTTAGACTGAAACACACATTTGCTTTCAGACTAGGTTAATCTGCATACCTAGTAAAACACTTGCTAATTAATACACCTAATAGAACTGTAGGTGTTCAGAGAACCTGGTTGATTTAGCTGTGAAGAGTTACTGAATGCTCAGTAGGAGCCTCTTGAATGACAAGCGTAACCTTACCCACTGTAAAGCTGTGGTCACACTAATTCTATTATGATTGAAGTCATTTACAAGAAGCGAGGCTTCAGCTGCAGTCAGCACTGATGCTATTCTCAACAGTTAAGAAAAAAGATGTCCCCTAGGGCAACACACTGACTATATCTAGCAATCAGTACTCTGCACCCAGCTTGTACTTAATCCTGTATTGAACAATATATCCATCTCCTATACCTTCTTCTTCAGATCCAGGGTCAGCACTTTCTGTTGCAATTGGCTGTCATTTAGTCACTGGCTCTCCTTCCACCTCTCCATTCATGGTGCTGACAGCTGTGTGAGCAATACATTTATTCATTAATTCCAGCTTTGAGACAAAGGATGTGTAACAGTGACTTAATTTGGACTCTGCATTGCTTTCTGTGCAGTCAAAGTGTAAGCTGACAACTGCACGTGCAGTAGGTTTCCAGGACGTTTCTCCCCATTGCAAAGAAGTGCTGTTCAAGACTTTTCATTGCCACTGACTTGTCTGTTGTCATACTTCTACATAGTACTCAGATCCTCTCACTGTAGCTGCCTTTTTCCTCCACAGCTGCTTCCCAACATAGCAGCCAAATTTGCTACACCTGGGTCCAATTTGCTGCTTGTGTCACTATGGAATAACAGAAACACAGGCCTGCAGGGAGCATAAAGAAATATCTGTGGCAAAACACTTATCACGTCTTCCATAGAAATTCTCATTAAATGCCTTTTTCTTCCCAACATAATTAATTCCTCTTTAGTTCAATTTTTTGTTACAGGAAAGGGTTATTTGGTTTAATCTCAACAGTATCCTTGTTTACACATGATTCTGAATTCTACAGCCTGTAGCTGTCTATACTGAATACGGTGGGCCAGAACATGCTCAGATTTACAGTGAGATTTTCCACGGGCCGATGCAGAAAGGTGCTGGGATGCCCATGAGGACGCTCTGACCAAGACATCTGTGCACTCACAGTATTGCAGGGGCTCAGGATGTATACGCAGTGGTGTTAGCTCATTGCAACTTGTGCTTCAGATCTAGCGAGCATCGGTGGGACATTAGTTCTGCAAAGCCCCTTTATTTATATTCTACAGCATCTTTGCATGCCATAAAGATTTGAAGGCTAGAAGATCCCAATGCATTAATCTAGTTTGACTTTCTGTATATAATAAAAGGCCTCAGAAGTTTCACCAGGAATTTTCTGCAGTGCAGAAGTTACTCCTGCAAAGCGCATAGTTATGCCTGTTGCTTAAGTGAACATTATCAAAGCCAGTAAGTAAACTTAGCAGAGTTTTTAGGCAGACACCCAATCTCAACTGAAGGACATCAAGCACTAAAGAATTTACTGAGTTCTTCCACGTGCTCTTCCACCAGTTAACACACCGGCTGCATTACAATGCAACTTACTTTTCCAGTCATCAACGTGTCCCACCAGTCACAGGTCTCTTTCCATTTGGGATTACAGTAGCAGCATGGCATTGCAGGTGGAAAGGGAACAAAGCCCTAAAGTAGATGGTAGGACATTGTTTCTCCTTACTTGACAGAACAGGACTGGGCACAAGGCTGGCTTCTTTTATGTAAGGTGAGCTAGTTGCCACCCAGGACTTGCTGAGCTTGGTAACAAGAGAGGAAAGAGGAAAGTCTTGATCATCAGTCTTAGTCAAGCACACTGGGAAAGGGGAGGAATCTGAAGTTGTTATAAATCAAGTTCCTCACTCTTTCAGGAAGCTGAAATGCAGATAGTGAAGAAACTGTAACTATGGTACTAAAAAAGATGTGCACGCCAGACAGACAAAAGACTTGGAAAGATGCACTCAATTGGATAGCTAAGTAGGATAA